TTTGTCTGTAATTCCTCTGAGCACTGTTTGTAAGGGGAGAACTAACAGGAGCACTTACCTGTTCACAGCTAGTTCAGTCATTTTTCCCTGTGGTGTAGGGGAGGGTTGACACAATGCATGGATGATCCCCCAAGTCAGCACACCCTTGAAGCACAGACCACTGCTACACATCTGTCTGCTGACAGTTTGTTCCTTACTTGGAAGAAAAGCATGAAGGCAGATTGTGGCAAGAACAACTTGCCAGTTAGTGTGCCCTTAGCATGCAGGGTTTTCCTTGAGCAACATCTGGTGCCCAGCTTGGGTGGCATATCTTCAGCTGGCCCAGCTTTCAAGGTCTGTCACTGTCTTGGGTTTTGCTCTCATCCTCTTGCACATGGTTTATTTTACCTTCTTTCCTATCATGTTTTTCACATTGTCCACTTCCTGTCTCCTCCCTTCTCAGGAAGCTGTTCACTGCCACTGTTTTTCTCTTTACAAACTGTCATTCTCCATCTGAGGAACCTGCTGTTCCTAGTGGTCCTTCCTTCTACTGTTAAAAGCAGGCCCCCCCAAACTTCATAGTACTTACAAAGGAAATATCTCCACTTCCTGTATAATGTAGTAGCATGTGAGGTAATTTCAGTGGGTAATTATTCATCTTGTAAATACCTCAGCGTACACCAGAGAAAAAACGCAGCCATATGCTCTCCAGGAGATAATTCTCAACCATCCAGCAGCCTTTTATCAATGTAGGCTCCTCTCAGCAAACTGGTTTGTCATGCACAATTGCAAAGCAAACTTTGAGAAGAGAGGGAAAAGCACGTTGGGAGGAAGAATATGACACATTCCTAGTCAGTGTTGCACTAGCACTGCTGTACTGCCCTGTAGTTATTCACACAGCATTTACATTTTAAGTCTTCACTTAAAACTGTATTTGAATAATGAACATCAGCAGAAGCGGTGCTGATACTTCCTTAATCATGGTAAAATGCTTCTTTCTGTAACAGCTGGCATTCTGTAGTTCTGTGATCTAGGCTATGTAGTCACTTTTAAAATGAACTGACTTTGAAATAGAATAGGGAACACAAGCTAAAGCTTGGCTAAGAATAATCTGTTACGTAATTAGTACAATGATAAGATTAAACCAGAACCTGTGTTCTATCAAGTATGGTAGGCATAGGGATTCTTGTGTTCATCTGTTTCCTTTCCAACCTACTGGTTTCAACTGCTTGCATCTTTCAGAATTTTTCAGATTTTTCATTTGTTTGAAAGCAGCTGTTCTATTTCTAGAAAGTCTGATGGGGAGAGAGAAGTTCTTTTGATCAGACTACATTTACAACAGCGACAGCACTTCAGAAAATAAAATGGATAGCTCAAAGACCTGTACTGATTTTGGAGAAAGTTCTTGATAAATTGGAGATGCAAAAAAAAAGATCTGGCAAGTCAAACTGTATTTTTAGGGGGCAGCAGGCTTCAGAATATGCGGATGTAGAACCCTTTGATCAGAATTGCTTTTAGTGAGAAATCCTTTCTTCTGTCACTGTCCCCTTCAAGGTAAAAGATAATGTTCTTGGTGGAAGCATTTGAAAAGGCAGACGTCAAAATACTGCATATGAGTCATATACAATTCTTTCACAGTTACTGAATAGTAACTTCTGGATATTGGATCTAAAATAGCCATCTTGGAAGTTGTGCTGTGATGTTCACCAGGTATTCCGTTTTATTTTCTGCTTCATTTTACTGCCCTTCAGAGCATATACTGACTCAGTTACCGAGGGCAGTGTGGAGAAAACTGAAAAATAATTGTTCAAAAATCAAGAGATAATGGCTTTCAGCTACTTAGCAATGGCCTGTCATACATCTAAAGTTGCCATTTTCATTTATTTCTTAAAGCTTTTATTCTACATCATTAGTAACTTGTAGCCCCTTGTATCTGGTCTCCATTTTATTGATGAGTTCCTCATTTTCATAAATGTAAAATGACTTGGTTTTTAATTTGTACTTCGAAATGAAATACATTTATCTTGAAGCCCTCAGAACTGGTGTTTCCTGTGGAAAAATAGTACTTCTTTCTGGACTAAATTGGGATAGCAAGCATCTGTCAAGCCTCTTCACAGAATTTTCATTGGTTTGTAGTGGGGAGAGTTTAAAACAAGTAAATGCTTTGAAAATTTGGACTTTATCATTACTTCCTTAACCCTGAGAACTGGATTATTCAGATATGATCTGATTATTCAGATAGTAACTTGCTATCTTCTTCCTGTTACGGAGTATTCCCTATGCAGCAGATCCTAATTGGTGAAGCCAGTTTAACAGTAAAGGGATATGGTTGCACTTTTCTTGTTGACTTGTCATACCCTTGCAAGAATCACTAACACTTACTTCTTAGAGCTAGTGAGTTCACTGCTGCTAGTAACATTTCAACTTATTTTCTTGGAGGGAGCTGGCCAGAAAAGCTGCTGTAGTAAATCTTCTAACATTGTCTCCTTGTGAACATGGCTTTTTCATTCTCTTGAACTAGCCTAGATGGGAAGACAACAGCAGGTGACACCATGTACCAAATGGTGGCACCAACAGCTGAGTAGGTGGCATGCTGCTGGCAGCTCACCTTAAGACTGGTACTCATACTTTGTGAATCTAGGTTGATGCAAGAGCTGTCAGAAACCCAGCGTGTTTACAAGCTTTTGTGCAGCTGCTTGGAGGGTGTTACTGTAAGCTGAGAAAGCTGATTGTATTCTGAATTCAGGCATGGTGATATATTAGAGGAAAATTGCTCTGTCTAGGTAAGATTAAGCGTTGAGCTGCTTCTTTTTGTATGGTCTTGAACAAATTTGCAACACAGAAATTAGGGATCAGCATAGATTTCCCCCCTGCCCCATGTAACAATTCTTAAAATCTTGCGATGTTGTCACCTATGGACGAAACCCTGGAATGCCGCTTTAGCAATAAAAATAGCAGTACCAAGTCTTTCTGGTGTTGTCTTGTCTTCACTTAAATGTTATTATTCATTCCAGAAAGTCAAAACACTGTTGTTAAAATCTTTTCAGCGTCTTTCTTAAGTGTCAGTGTTTGATGGAGACTGTGTTCACCATAATGCAATAGAATTCATAATCTCATTCCACAATTTCTATACATTTTCTGAAATAGAGCTTTTTAGGCTTGGTTTTGGGTTTGCAGGTTTATCTCAAATTTTTTTGTTCCCCAATCTTACTGCTCTTGGACCACACTAATGCAATGTTTACCTCAGCATATTAAGAAATATGGAAAATATTGAGAACCTTCCTACCAGGAGTAACAGCCAGATCTCATTCCAGCCCCTGCAAGTTAGCAGACAATCAAAAAGTTATGTATTTTCCTCTGAAGGATCTATCTTTTGGCCACTCTTACCCACATATATCTAAGCTGTTAAAGAAGAAAAGCTATGTTAAAACAAAAAAATCCTCAGATTACCATAGGAAAGTCATCCAGATGTCAGAGAACTAAGGCAAAATATTATTTGTGTAGTGGGCCACCTAATATACTGCAAATACAGTTTATATCTTTAAGTCATCGCAGAAATAAACCAAATGAGAGTCCTAAGTCTCTTTTTTTTGTGAATTTATCCATAATTACCAAAAAAATTATGCAGCCTTTAATGTCACACAGAAAAAACCTCCAACCCTTGCAGCAAGTAATTTCATTTATGAGTTTTTAGCTGCTTGCTATGTTAAAGCAATTAGCTAAGAAACACAGAATGGAGATGGGAATGGTAAGATGGCAATATTGAAGTTTACTTGAATAAAAACTTAGGATTTTCATTAATTGAGCAACTGTTGGAAGCCAAGTTTACCATTTCTGTGACTGTCAAACCAATTATGGTCATTCTCCTGGTCTATTAAAAACTGGGCTATGCTTAATCTGGATTCCAGTATCCAGTGCTAGTGAACAACATTGATTACGCTCCTTGTTACAAGTTTCAGAAAACAAAAATAGGAATTCTGAGGGCTGTGTCTAGTCCCTGTACCCATTGCCAATAACCTAGCGAGCCAGTTCTCCAGCTACAATATTCGTATTTTCAGAGCTTTGCTAGTATTTTTTCACAACATACTGTTTACTGGCTTAATTCTAGCTTTTTCTTCTGATCCCTAGTCTTTTGTTGCAGCTTCTTATATTGTACCCTGAGGTCTGTGGCCTTTACCCCTACTGAGGTTACAGGAAAAAAATAAACAAGGGGTCAGAAAAAGATGTTAAAAATAGGGGGGGCTGGGGAAGAGGTGTTAGTAAACCCCAGGGAAAAAAAATCAGAATACTTGGTATTTTACTGGGTAGATTAGGATTGTCTTGGAGATTAGGAAAAGGTCCTTCACTGAAGAGGGTGGTCAGTCACTGCAACAGGCTCCCCAGGGAAGCAGTCATGGCACCAAGCCTGTCAGAGTTCAGGGAGCATCTGGATGATGCTCTTAGTCATATGGTTTAGTTTTAGGTAGTCCTGCGAGGAGCAGGGAGTTGGACTCAATGATCCTTACAGGTTCATTCCAATTTGAGATATTCTATGATTTTATCTTTGACAGAGAAAGAACGCTCCAGCTAGGGCTAGCAGTACAGAGAATTGAATTACAGAACCTTTTTTAAGTCCCTTCAAACTTTATTCTGTGTCAGTTAAATTCAGCACACCAGTACCAGGAGATCAATGACAAATGCTGAACAGCACACCTCATTAATATAAATATCTGAAACACTGGACGTTGCCTGGGGTGATCTGTTCAGCTGCTGAATCTAATTGTTTAGCTAAACCCATTTCCTGATGTTCTGAAGCAAGTTCTCTCCTCTCTACTTACTCAATACTTCCTCAAAATAAATTCTAACTGCTTTTAATTTGTTTGCTTTCTGTTTAGGCATGTTGCATATGGAGGGTGCTATATAAAATCAGATTAAGTTACATACATTATCACCCATGTGATTCCCATAACAAATTTTTCCCCTTTGTTTCATGCATTCAGGTGATGTAGCCCCATGGAATTATTCAGACTTTCATCCAGCAGTGCAGTTTCAGTACTTTATTTTGAAAGTCTCTTAACAGCTAGTTTAAAACAAGTGAACAAATTAAATGTAAAGTGTTCTTTATTAAATAACTCAAAAGGTAAAGCAAATTGTGCGATTAAGAAAGACAACATGACGGTTCCAAAAGATTTTTACAGCAGAAAATGAATTGCGGCAAATGAGCATTTCAGTCTAGCAGCCAAATTGTCCTCATTTTTATGGAGTTAATTTCGGTCCTCAAATTGTGACTTGTTTTTTAAAAGATATGCTGCTAGAAATTCAATGGGATTTGGCGGTCTGTAAAAAAAAAAGTAAATCAAAAGCAATTATTTTTTGTTATATGAAATTAGGTAGCTGAAGAACTAATCACCTTCCCTTAAAAGCAGCATACCTCCTCCCAAACACTAATAAGCATTGATTTAGGGACGACCAACTACCTAGAGCTACCCTGTAAATTTCCAGTTTATGTCTGATGAGAAAGTTTTAATAAGGTGTCTTAGTCACCATTGGTTCAATGTTACTAAACTGCTAGAACAGTTGCATACCTAGAACTAGGGTATAGTCTGTAAGCATAAATACTGTATGTACATTATTGGAAGTTACATCCATTTGCCTATTTCGTTAACTCATGCTATATAAAGTAAAAGCTAATCTGTCAGTGCTTTCTTGGTTCATTTTCTTCAAATGGTTACTGTGTAGCTTTGTGCATTATAGAGCTGTTTTCATGGTTTCTGGCAACTGAAATGAACACAATGAAACGTCAACAAAAACATCAAGCTTGAGAAGTGCTGTAACTTGCAAGTAGTCAATAGTAAACACTTCCGATCGCTAGCCTTAGTCCATTAAGTTTTTTTAAACAGCTCCTCCAGCTACAGTGCATGAATCCTACTAATCTGGATTTTGTCCGCAGAATAAATGACAAATTTACTTACTCCACACTGGGGCAGACCAAAGGTCTGGCAGTGAGCAAATATCCCTATAAATAGCATAAAAAAAAATACAAGTGCGCAGAGATACTTCTCTGGACCACCCTTTTGGCTTTCAATCATGTACCGGCTTTCTGAGCTTGCACCTATAATAGTCCTGGGTGAATTCCTCTACAACTTTGACCAGTTGCCCCTTGAGCCCAAGTAAAATGTTAATGTCCTCAACCTGAGGCAAAAAAGTTATATAGCTTAATTATGTCACATGTGAAAGATCACCTCCTTTTGTTCATTATGAATTTGCTACCTGTTTCACTTAATTTGATTACTGTATCAGAAGAGATAATAAACAATCCATCCCAATTCAGCATCTCTGTGCTATTTGTGATTAACACATTCCTAATATATTCTCTCACAGAAGTCTCTTTTCTCGGTTATCATCTATTCAGTCATTCTGTATACAGACAGCACTCCATACTTCTGACCACATTGTCACTCTTCTTACTTTTTCACATTCTACCAGAATGTAGGGGAACTGGAATCACACACAATATTAAAAATACAAGAACATTATAAATTTAAATAGTGACATTATGCTTGTTTTCACCCCTTTAATTTCTAAGTCCTACCATTCAGAATTTATTTTTGATTGAGCAATGCATTGACATATACATTTAACAGTTTAAAGGTATTTTTTCATAAGGGTAATTGTCAACTTGGAATCTATAATTTTGTCACTAGCATTAGGGTATTTATTACCCTCCTAGGTGCATCATTTTGTCTTTATTTGTATTCAGTCTTTCACTTTTTGTCATAGTTTCAATTTTTCATAGCAGTCTTCCATAGTTTCACATCGAGTTTATGAAGTTCCTGTGCAATTATGTACAACTGATCAACTTAAAAAAACCCAAACAGAAAACAAAACACACAACACCCCAACCTATTCTGTAAAACTCAGTATCATTAACAAATTTTGTCAGCTACTTCTTCAAATGGTTATAAATGATCCTTTCCAGGATTCTAGTGTTGAGCTCATTTCACCATGAAAATTCACCAAAATTTCACCATCTACTCTGCCTCATATCTTCCAATCAGTTCCTCATCCATATAAAGGCTTTTCCTTTAATCCCACAGCAATTAACTCTCTTTAAAAGCTTCTAGTGAATGACTGTGCCAGAAACCTTTTGGAAATTTAAACAGACTGTATCATCTGGATTCCTGTTTGTATGTCCTTGCTGATTCTTTCAGTGAACTCCAAGAGACTTACAAGATCTCACAAAAGTGGTATTCACTTCTCCCAAATATGTCATTTATCCATATGCTCCTATCCTGGATAATTTCTACTGAATTTCAGGCATAGTCATCAGATGTACTGGGCTGTTCCCTGAACATCTCTATATTCCTTAGAAAAAGAAATTAGCATCCTTAGTTACTTCCCAGTTCAATTTTAAGCAGAAGATTATACACAGCAGAGCTGGTAGTTCAGCTTTTTCATCCCTGAGGTTTTAATATGCTCAGCTGAATAGCCAATTTGACCTTGGTAGGTTCACACTGTTAGGTATTTTTCCTATATGTTCTCCAACCTCTTCTATCAATGTTCCAATTTCACTCCTGTGATGAGTCCCCATAAAGAACAGCTCCTTCCACAGTGAAGAAAGATTTAAAAAAAAAAAAAAAGTTTGTCTGTAACACAAGTATCCAGACTGTAAGCGTGGGGTATCCACCTCAGGCTGTGCTTTACATTCAGTCTGCTGCAGAACTCCCACAGATGTCAGCTGAAGATCTGCACGCCGCTCAGGTGCACACACGGGGTGTACCTTCCCAAATGCTCTTTTGCCTAATTAGCTGTCTGTACAATGCAGTTCAAATTCACAACTCCTTTTGAGGTTAAGACACTGTTGGCTTCTGACTGTAGGTACCGTGATGCGATTATGGTCACCCATACCAGCTTTTGATAATGTTATTTTGGCAAAATTGAGAAATGGTTACATGCAGTATGACTCACCAATAGCTCAGATACACCAGAAGGCCAGAAATCAATTTGGATAAGATGAACAACTGCTTGCTATTATTGAAGAATACCCTTCTACGCTGACTGATAAGAGATTTGGGGCACCTCGACAGCATAATCTTTACTCAAAGGATAAACTATCAGTTTGCTTCTTACTGAATTGACAGTGCAGCTCAGCCTCATCTTTTAGAAACTGTTTTAATCTCTGACAAAGGTGCATGTCAGGCCTGACTTGTCTGTCTGTCTTTTAAATGGCACGCAGAACTCTCTAATTCCACACTACAAAAATCTTGTTCAAAACTAGAACAACTTCTTGCCTTGCTTCTATAAGGTGAATTATGTGATAAAATTCATAAAAAAATACATTTTTCCCTCCAAAACTTTTGCAGTAGCATACCTCATTGGGAGATCACAAATTCAATAAATAACTCTTATCACTCCATATGCACCCAAGTGAGGAACACATCCTGCATGGGCAATCATAATAATTCATAGGTTCATAAACCCGTGGTAATGACATTCTTACAACTAGCAAAACCACGGATGGTGTGCGAGGTCTGAAAAGGTGACACACCACCCAAGTTTGAGACCTACTTTTTTTCCTAAGAACAGAAGGAACGTTGAAGCATCTCACCTCTCTTTTGCAAGAACAGCGAGTCCCTGTAGCAAGATAGGTACAACTGTCTGATCCAAGTAGGCACGTGTGGGTAACGACTGAAGATCCACCTTCTGCTTTGATGTTTTCTCTGCATTTATTTTCTCATTTTCTACTATCCTCTGAAGTAGGGAAAAAAAGTGAATGAACATTGGTAATTTAGCAGCCACATCTACTTTGAAGTGTGAGTGCTAACAAAGTACCCATCTCTCTGTGATTCACTGGCAATAACTTCTTTACATCTTTTAAGAAAATTTAAGTGCATATTTTTCCTTGCACAAAAACCTAATCCAGAGGAGCCTTCTGTTAAATTCTTATGTTTTGGGGAAACAATGTTAGGAAGTCATAAGTTTTCTAAAACAGAAGACACCCAATCTCTATCATTTTTATTTCTGCTTTTGCATTCACAAATTTAAATGCTACACCACTGAAACAGGAATGACAATTAACAAGAGCAGTCTCAGTTAAATGGTTCCTGTATGCACGTGCTTCTAACACAAAATGCTAAAGGAACAAGAAATTCAGGTGAAGTCTGACAAAAGGGACTCTCTTAAAGTCAAGCACTTTGAGACTGTACTCTGTTAAAATATAGATGGACACTTTAATGAAAACATATGCAAAATGCTTCCAGGTGCCTTTTGGTCAAAAAGTGCTGAATTAAATGTTGCACCATTAACTGTAGTTAAAAAAGGATACCCTACCTCTGCCAGTAAACCAAATGTACTCAAGGCAACATATACAAATCTACCGATAAGGGACCAATGTATCCAATGCGTTATGGTTCTGTAGTGGAAGTTGAGGCACACGGAGAAGCAGTTATCGGGGAGGCGAGTCACAAAGGATGTTTAAGAAAAGTTTCTGCAAAAGCTTAGCATGCAGTAGGAGCTTATAATGGAGAGAGACTGAAGGCATTTCTTTAATAAGGAATAGTAAATAAATGTCATGGAGTTATTATTCTAACCCACGTTGTTACCTCCAGCAGAGAGAATGAATTGTGCCTACTCTTTCTCAGCATAAGGAATTAAAGACAGCTTAGATTATTCTGACGCAATATTTCGATTGACAAGAATATGAAAAGAATCACTCCCTTCGATACTTCTGCAGAAATGCCATCAACTCCTCCTATTCCCCTCCCTGTAATAAAAGTCTGGCTGGCTTTCTGTGGCATAGTATATTATATAGCTAAATATAATAGATAGCAATAGAATAGATAATGATCATAGGATACTTCCAAAAAATCCCACCTCATTAAAAGGTTCATTATTTACTTCAGTACCATTTAATGTAATGGAAGCAACGCAACAGAAAATACACTAACAGCCAGTTATGCAAGGGACTAGTATCTGTTGGTTCAATTTCCATCTAACTTTCTAGGGAACATTACATTTGCTGAAGTTAGACTCGAGACTCAACATTTTTCCCCTTGATTAGGAACATGACTTCCACTGTCCTTTACAGCAACAAAATCTTTGTTACCTCTACATTTTCAGTGAGACCGTATTCAGAATGGGGATTTTCTGGAACCTGTAAAATAACACACGGTCAGCAAAGTGCGAATGCTCCTTTTATGCATGCAGCGTTATGCACATAAAGCATTTCTTGCAATACCTGTGGCTGTCCCTCCATAATCTGTTCTGCCTCCATGATTTGAAAAGTGGAACTTGCTGGACGTAATCTTGGAAAGCAACAGAAGAGTTGGTCAGCAGACTGAGAGAAAGACCAGCGTTAGCTGACTGACACGCATCGCCGGTTACTAAGGCGCAATTACCAGAGCGCAAACGGAGCTGCTCCGTGCTCCCCCCGCCCCGCCAAACTCGTACGCGCTTTTCCCGCACACAGAACTGCGAAGCGTCTTAAGGTTCGCGTGACGCCCGCTGAAGAAAACGGCACCGGGATTAGAAAACACGGCATTCGTCATTTCGAACAAGAGTCCCCAGCGACGGCCCGCTCCCCTGCCCGGCC